CTCCCACATGTACAAGGCCCTAGGTTTGATCCCTAACATGAACTCTCTCCAAAAAAAAAGGAGGCTGTTTCCTGGCTCCATAATCCTATTTCCTCCAATTGTTGAAGCTACTGTACCCATTTGTTTCATGCATCTACCCACTGCCACATTAACAAAAGACCAGTTCCTATCATCTATCTTAGTGAGGCCTTGTCTCAAAAAACAAAACAAAACAAAACAGAACAAGAAAAAGCGGGGAGGAGTTTAGGGGAGGCTGGAGATGTAACTCAGTGCAAAGGCCCTGATTTCAATATCCAGTACTACAAAAAATTTCAAACAAACAAAAAAGTCAGCATATCCACAGTGTGACTGAAAAATACAGGGAATGCTTACATTTAAAAATGTATTGCCGGGCATGGTGGCGCACGCCTATAATCCCAGCACTTGGGAGGCTGAGGCAGGAGGATCGCTATGAGTTCAAGACCAGCCTGGGCTACATAGTAAGTTCCAGGGCAGTCTTAACTACATAATGAGACCCTGCCTCAAAAAAAAAACAACAACAACAAAAAAGTATTAAAAGACACATTGCCATTAATCCCCCTCAAAATACTTCCTCTTGCTTTGAAAACATTTTTCCCATCATTCTTACCACTTTATGAAGTACTTCTGGAATCTCGTTCACAGCATCTTTAAGAGACGTAACCAAAAATATGATGAATGCTGCTGCCAAGTGCCATCCAATGGAAAGGCAGGCTCCTCTTAAGAGCATTATGGTGTCCTTCTCCACCTATTTCACCAGATGGGGGACCATGTAACTGTACAGGGAACCAAACTCAGGACCTTGCGCTTGCCAGGAAGGTATGGCACTGCTGAGCTACATCCCTGGTCCCTTAAAGGAAAATGAATAAGTGTTTTCTAAATGAGAGAGAGTACTTTGAGGGGGGGTTAATAGCTGTGTCTTTTATTGTAATAACATTTTTTTAAAACATTTGCCATATATTTCAGTTATACCTCATACCTAATGCAGACATAGCCAAAAAACAAATTTCTAGAGTGTGTGATATAGGAGTCAAAGAGGAAAAAAAAACATATTGGAGGGAGAGGGAGAAAGGCAGCTGATTTCATAAACATATCAAAGAGCAAACATCCTCTTTTTCTCTTTTGCTTCCTAATTTTCATTTATCTGGTGAAACCAAATAAACTTACTAGAACTGGATCACAATAATGAATAGTATCTTGGGGCTTACAGAATTTAATCCTATTTCCTTTAGTCTAATATCTATTTTATTTTTATATACATAGATTAAGCCCAAAACAGTATTTTGCAAAGTGCAGATCAAAAATATGAGATGACTTTTAGCTGATACATGAGAAAGTTATGCACTTATCAATTATACATTTTATTATAATGTGTCCTAGAAAAAGTTATAAAATGCATTAGAATCATGATTTCAATAAAGTCTCACTGTAGAAGGTGATGCTTTCTGAAAAGCACATTTAAAGTACGAAGGGGCTGAAGGTGTAGTTTAGTGGTAGGATGAGTGCTTCTCATGCTTAAGGCCTGGGTTCAATTCCCAGCACACTAAACAACAACCAAAAGTAGTAACAGACAGAACTCTAAATTATGTGGTAGTATGACTCACAAGTGAAGAACAGTTACATCATGAGCCTAGGACCTGTTTTTGGTTGCATGCTTTCTTCCTAGTACTAGGTCATCTTTTTGTTGTTGTTGTTGTTGAGACAGGGTCTCACTATGTAGTTGAGACTGACCTGGAACTCACTATGTAGCCCAGGCTGGTCTCGAACTCGGGGATCCTCCTGCCTCAGCCTCCCAAGTGCATGCACCAGCATGCCCAGCCAGTTCTAGGTCATCTTGAACGACTAGAAAAGACGGGACCTTCTGTTAAACTTATATACGTACTTATATTCAGAGTTGAAAAAACAAACACCAAGATGCAGACAGAAATTCTGTTTATGGAAATGAGAATAATACTGTTAGGAAAATAACAGCACAAAAAGTCATTTGGTTTCTAGAACCAAGATAACAGCAATAGGGCTGGGGATTTAGCTCAGCGGTTCTGCCGCATGCCTTGCAAGTGCAAGGACCTGAGTTTGATCCCCGGTACTAAAAACAAAACAAAACAAAATAAAACAAGATAGCAGCAATAGTGCATATCCATATACCCAAAGCACTCAAAAAACAAAAACTAACTAGCAAGACATACTTAAACAGCAGGCTAAGGTATATGATCATTCAATTTCCTTCCACATGACCTGCCACAGCAGCACAGTACAGTAATGTACAACAAAGGTGTTTCTCTTATTTGCTACTAGTTATACAAATGTGTTCTCATTACTTCTTTTTTTGTTTTTGTTTTCATTTTGAGAAAGGGTCTCCGTAGTTCAGACCAGCCTTAAACTTGTATTCCTGCCTCAGCCTCTCACGTGCTGGGATTATGGGTATGCACCACCATACCCCACTTCTCATTATTTGTCAAGAGAATGAATGAGAAGTGATCACTGGAAACCTTAGGCACCAAATTTGCCAGTGGCAGAAATATGTTTTTCTCATTTTGCTATTGGTATTCCCTTACAGGCATACACCTGTGGAGGCAGTCGTGATGGCTGAAGCAGAAGGATGGAAAGTTTGAGCACAACTTGGGGAACTTAGCAATTTAGCAAGACTCTGTCTCAAAACAAAAAAATGAAAAAGAGCAGGAGATGTAGCTCAGTTGAAGGCCAGGTTCAATCCCCCAGATGACCTCCAAAAAAAAAGTAAGAAGAACCATTCCTATCAAGCCATGTCTACACTACTAGTATTTTACTGGCACATCTGAGAACTGGGTCTTTGGGGGGGCTCTTCTGGGTGTTTTTTGAGACAGGGTCTCACTCTGTTGTTTAGTCTGGCCTTGAATTATGTAGCCTCGGCTGGCCTCAAACTCACCTCAGTCCTCCTGTGTGAGCTTCCCGAATGCTGGGATTGCAGAGGTGTGTGCCCACTGAAAACCAGGCTTGTATAAAATCAATGTTATGTTCCTGGGGATTGAACCTAGCTATACTGAGCTATATTCCCAGCCTCGCCGCCTTTTGTAATGGGGATTGAACTCAGGTGCTTGCACTTGCAAGGCAGGCAGCAGAACCACTGAGCCCCAGCCCCCCTTGCCCATTTAAAAATTTTTTTATTTTGAGGAAAGATTTCTAAGTCACACTGGCTGGGTGCTCGCTTCGGCAGCACATATACTAAGTCACAATGGCAGGGCTCAAACTTTCAATCTTTCTGCCTCATCCTCCCATATGTTGTTACATATGTGGGCCACTATGCCCAGCCTGAAAACCAGTTTTAAAGGCAGTAGGGTAGATGAAGTAGGTTCCTCTCAATTCTTAAAATACCTTCCATTAAGAAGCAACAGAGGGGGCCGGGGATATATAGCTCAGTGGTGCTGCCGGCTGCCTTGCAAGCAAGAGCAAGGTCCTGAGTTCGATGCCGGGTACCAAAAAAAAGAAGCAGCAACAGAGCCACCAGGCGTAATGGTGCAATCCTGTAACCCCAGCACTGGAAGGCAAAGGCAGGAAAAAAAAAACCAAAACAAAAACAGAACTGGAGTGTGGTGGTGCATGGCTGTAATCCCAGCATTCAAGAGGCTGAGGCAAGAGGATCACTGTGAGTTCGAGGCCAGCCTTGACTGAATAGCAAGACCTTGTCTCAGGAAAAAAAAAAAAAAGCAACAAGAACCCAGTATTTTTCTTTTTCTTTTTGGTACCGGGGATCGAACTTTCGGCCCGCCCTTGCACTTGCAACGCAGGCGGAGGAACCACTGAGCTAAATCCCCGGCTCACTACAGTATTCTTCACAAGTCCACTCCCAACCTAGAAGATGACTGATAACAAGTGAAATGGTAACTCTTCTCCTCTTCTCCTCTTCCCAATTTTAATTTTTTAAAATTTCTTTTACCATTACCTGCTTTTCTAATATCGTAGTGACTAATAATTATGGACCAAAAAAGAAGAAAAAAAACAGAACTTCAAAGTACTTTTCTTTCCCACTACGTCAACCCTGTAACTGTAGAATTTCCTTCTTTTCCTGATCCTTTGTGCGCGTCTGCGGAGAAGCAGGAAGGTAAGGACAGACCTTTCTAAGAGCAAGAACTGTCCGATGCCATGAATCTTTACTGTTCTTTTCCCACGGTTCTCAGCTATTTCATCACGGTGGTCACCATGCAGTCTACTGATTGCACCGACACCAGACAGCGAGGCGGGGAACGAGGGGCTGGGAGCTGACCTCCGGCTTCCAGGAAGAGTCCGGCAAACAGCGCCAGCCACACTTCCTCCACCGGCCCCTCCAGCCTCTCGGGGCGTCCCTGCGAGGGCCCAAGCTGCCGGGTCTGGGCCGGACAACCCTCAACTCCCCTGAAGCCCAAGACTCCCGACTCTTCGATATCCTCTTGCTTCATGATATCCCACACTTCCCCCAGACCAGCTCCCTTAGCCCGGTCCAGGCGGCTCACCTAAAGGTTCCGGCCACTCCTCTCCGGCCTCAGCCGCTCTGACACTGGAGACCAGTCCAGACGCCGCGCCTTTACCGCGCCTGCGCACCCTAGCTCCGCGCGCCTGCGCACTTCTGCGCAGCTGCCGCGGACACACCTCTGCAGCTGGAGCCAATCACCGCGCTAGTGGTTTAAATCGCCCTGCCACGCAGGCGGAGAGCCTGGGTACTCGATGGTTAAGGCGGTAGATTTCTTTAGCCTCTAGGTGAACCTCCAGTAAACATTTACAGAAGGAAACCGTGTGCCAGACACTGCTGAGGGAAAGAAAGCGACTAAAATGCTTTTCCTGACCTACAGGGTCTTCGATCTGTCTAGACTGGGAGATAGATACGTGAAGTCTAGTGGGCAAATACAGTGTCTGGCACATAGAAAACCCAGAGAGACTTCGACTTCCAAGAAACAAGATTGTTTTCTTAGGGGTGTCTGAAAGGCTTACGGGAGGAAGTGATTTTCTAGAAATGAAAGATAAGCAGTTACCCGCGGAAGTCCAGGAGAGAGGGAAGATAGTTTTCCGGGTTGTGTATTATGCAAGAACAGCATGGTACTTTCCGGAACTTTCTCATAATGAGTCCTTGTTAGAGGCGTAGAGCTGCTCCTTGTAGGTCCCTAAATATAGGAGACAAGAGTTTTTGAATGCTGGTGGCGAGTCTGGCTTGGTGGCTCGAGCCTATATTCCTAACTACTTGGGAGGCTTAGGCAGGAAAATAGCAAGTTGGAGACCACCCTGGGTAACATAGTGAGACCTTGTGTCAAAGTAAAATTACAAGAGGGCTGGGGTTGTGACTCAATAGTAGGTCATACTGAGTTCAATCCCCAGCACCGAGGGGTGGAAAAGGGTAGGTTTTAAGCAGGTAAATATTTTTTGTTTGTTTACTTATTTATGTAAGATTTTCTTGAGACACGCCCTCACTATGTAGTTGAGACTTACCTGAAACTCACTATGTAGCTCAGGCTGGTCTTGAACTCATCCTACTGCAGCCTCCTAAGTGCTGGAATTACAGGCTTGCGCCACCACGCCCGGCTATTTATTTTTGATACAGGGGACCGAATTTAGGACCTTGCGCTTGCAAGGCCGGCAGCAGATCCACTGAGCTAAATCCCCGGCCCAGCAGGTAAATATTTTAACTTCCACACACATCTAAGAATTTTAAAACCTGGAAATGGGGGTGGGGGGGTCTACTCCTAAGGGATCAAAGAAGATGAAACCTGAACAATGTGTTTTTGAATTTAGTAACACAGAAGTCATCAGTGATCCTACTGACAGCTGTTGTGGAAAATGATGGGCTTGCAAACTAGGGTGCACTAGTTTAGATGTGGAAATGGGGACAGGTTATAAAATGTTTCTGGAAACTTTGGCCTTCACAAGGAAGAGGGAGAGAATGATTGGGGTCAATGTTTTTTTGTTTTTGCTTTCTATATTTTTTGTTAGACTTAAGATGGAAAATATGAAGGAGACGATCCAACTGAGAAAAAAAACTGTTAAATTAAAGTAGTACAGGGCTTGGGATACAGTTCAGTGGTAGAGTGCTCCTTGCAAGAGTTCAGTCCCCAGTACCTCAAAAAAGAAAAAAAGAGTACTCAATAGATAAAGGTATCAAAAGGGTAGGAGTAAAGACAATTCAGAGCACTAGAGCACTAGTGGGAGGAATGGTCTTGGAAGATGTATGAGAGAGAGAGAGACAGAGAGAGAGACACAGAGAGAGGGAGAGAGGGAAGGAGAGAAAGGAACTACTTCAATTATAATAATGTAATGGCAAAAAATAACTTCCAACCTGTCAGATGTCAGATGTGCAGAGCTCACGGTCTCACAACATGGAGGAATGGAGTTGCAAACCAAAGGAGGAGGTTAGGAGCATTTTATTGAAGAAAAGAAGAGTAGCTCTGGGTCTCCAAAAGATGTCCCAAGTGGGTGGCTGCACAGGCCCTCAATCCAGAGCTAATTACAGGTAAGCAGAACACAAGAGTTGCTCATTTGTTCAGTGGCTGCGTATCACAGGTAGCTCTTTGGATTTAAAATGACCACTTGGAACCCAGGCTTCTAACCCAGTTTCTCAGCATTAGGGTTTAAAACTGGGATTTTAGGGAAAAACTTTTTTGTTTTTTGTATTTTTAATTCCTCAAAACTCATCTTTAGGGCCGGGGATTTAGCTCAGTGGTTCTGCCGCCTGCCTTGCAAGCACAAACACCCGAGTTCAATCACCAGTACCAAAAAAAAAGAATACTTAAAAAAGGAGGACAGGTGATTTAGCTCAGTGGTTCCCCAAGGACCCAAGTTTGATCCTTGGTACCAAAATAGAAAAAAATTTTCAAATTCAATAATGTATTGTGGAAAGTTATAGAATGACTTTGCTAACAGGTTCTGGGGGTCTGGGAACTCCTAGAGATTTTTTTTTCTGGATTCTTGTTGTTCTGAACAGAGATAATTGGACAAAAGAAGCACAAAAGGTAGCAAAGTTTTGTATTTATTAAAGGTAGGAAAAGAAACCTGCTTTGCAAAATGAATGCGGACCAGTTAAAAGGAGGAAAAGAAATACAATACACTTTAGAGAATGACAGAGGACGGTCATGAAAGAGAGAACACAATGGTCAAGAGCCAAAAGCAACAGTCTTTGGTATCTTCCACTCCTCAGGGTGAGGTCAGGTCTTGTCCTATTAAGAACTGGCTTAAATTCTAGGGAGAATTGAAGCTAGCATTCATTCTGATTGATCCCCAGGTGCAGGACTTTGGGACCTGTTTTTTTATGTGCACTTCCTGGATCTCCTTTATTGGTAAGCCCTACCCCACTTGCTCAGGCAGTTTGCCTGGCCTTGATCTCCTGTCTCTAGTTGACGAGAATAGTAGATCTGGTAAACAGTGTTGAAGTTCTGCTTAAAATTGGTGGAAATGAGCTGGAGGCCTAGGGATTTAGCTCAGTGGCACAGTGCCTGCCTTGCAAGTGCAAGGTCCTGAGTTTGATCCCTGGTGTGTGTGTGGGGCTTTGAGGCTTTGAGAAATATTCTGCCCCTTCGTCTGCAATCTTGTAGTTAACAGGTCACACCTACTTACCCAGCCAGTTTTTGCCACGCCCTAATCTCCTATCTCCTGCATACTGAGTGCTGGGATTACGGACATATGCCTCCACACCCAGTTCATGCGTGTTTTTAAAGGAGAATAGAATGAGCAGTATAGCACAGAACCTGAGTGTTTCAAATAATTATGATGTCACAAATACAGAATTAGAAGTTTCCTAAACCTCTAAAAGCTAATCTGGATTTACATATAGCTGAAAGTTTATTTTGATTTGGGGCATTGAAGGTCTCATTATAGGGAGTTTAAATTATGTATATGGAAAGAGTGGCACTTTACATTATCAACCTTTAATTTTATCTGACTACTCTTAGTTACTAAAATAAGGACTCCAGGGAATGTGTATGGCCTGTTTGACTTTAGGTATGGATTAGAATATAACCATTGATATTGATGGAATGTCAACATTTATGAATAGGCATTTGACCTATACCAACCTATTTAACCTTTTTTTTTTTTTTTTTAATTTAAAAAATATAGGGCCGGGGATTTAGCTCGGTTGTTCTGGTGCCTGCCAGGCAAGTGCAAGGGCCCAAGTTTGATCCCTGGTACCAAAAAAAAATGTTATTGAAGATTTAAAACATATAAACCAGGAACGGTTGCATGCACCTATACTCCCAGCATTGGAGAGGCTGAGGCAGGAGAATTGTGCTATGGTTTGGGTCTAGATGTCCCCCTGTAAGACTTAAGTCTCACTTTTACTCCTGGAGCGTGAACAGCCAAGAGGCTTCCACGATGCTGGGCTCAGAAGCTCAGCGAGGCTCCAGGAGCTTGTCGGACAGCGAGAGTCACCCAGGAAGGAACACACCAGGCAAATTGGCAAATAGACCTTTATTAGTCTGGCCAGAGGGCACTCCCCAAGCCAAGTAGCTCAGAGAGGCGGCTAGCTCAGAAACAGAGGCCATTTTATATAGGGCTGAGGTGGGGGGGTTACACTTAAAACTTACAGGAAGTGGACAAAGGCAAAGAATCAGTTGATCTGAGCTAGTTGTCATCAAGCATATACTTGACTGTCACTTACTAATGATCAGCAGATTGATTATCCATTGTTCCATTTACAATTTAGATTATAAAGTTCAGAACATTCAACTACAGGCAAGTAAGGAGTGGCGTGATTTATGTTGGGTCTCTGTGTTCACTACAGTTTCCATTTAGTTTCCCAGCTACTTCAAAGCAGTTACCTAACAATTCACAATTAATCATTAGTTATCCTATAAGGGATTGGGGTGAGCGACAGTCTCTAGGTCGTTTGCTGGTCAACATGGAGTCGCTCTGGTTCAGTCAGGCTCTTACACCCCTAAAACCTCATGTGGTCATAGGTGGCTGAATTTAGAGTGTTTCAGTGATTCATTGATTGGTTTGGCACTGCCCTAATGACAGTAGTCTGGATAAAATAAAAGGGGTAGAAAGATGCTGTTAAGGTCCTTTTGTTGCTTTGCTACCTTCTGGCCACCATAAACTTTCTTTCTGCCAAGCCACTCTGCCTTGGAGCCAGCCAATTATGGACTGAAACCTCTACAAACTGTGAGCCAAATGAACTTTTCCTCCTTTAACTTTGGGTGTTGGGTATTTTGTCTCAGCAACAAGAAAAGTAACTAAGACACAATTTGGAACCAGAGAAGTTAGGATGTTGCTGTGACTGTACCTGACCATGTGGCTTATGAGCCTTTTGGATAGGCTTGTGCAAAGAGTTGAGAAAGATTTGGAGATTCTGGTCAGAGCTCAGAAGACCAGAAAGCCAGGTAAGACCAGGCTCAGGAGGTTTCTGCTGGGAAGAAGGACTGCATAGCTTGTTGGACTCCAAATGATATGTGCATGCCTTGTCAGAAAGTTTGTCTGCAAAAAAACAAAAACAAAAAAAACCGAGTGTGGTGGTGCACCCCTGTAATCCCAGCACTGGGGAGGCTGAGGCAGGAGGATCACTGTGAGTTCAAGACCAGCCTGGGCTATATAGTGAGTGCCAAGTCAGTCTCAACTACATAATGAGACCCTGTCTCAAAAAAAACAAAACAAAACAAAACAGAAAGTTTGTCTGCATTTTACTTGAGTCCAGAGACTTTGCCTAAGGCTGAGATTAAGGGAGACAGACTAATTAATCTGGAAGAAGAAATTTTAAGGCAATCTAATGTTGAGGCAGTAGCATGGTTACTACTGGGGGCTATTAGCCAGATTTATGTTAAGAATCAAGAGCAAAGAACCCAGCAGAATAATATAAAATGTTTGGCATTTGGCCAGAAAGGAAGCTCCAGTAAAGCTGTGTACATCAAAGATAGAGCAGTGGAAATTTGATTGCTGAGAAGGAAGAGGAGAATAGAAAAGATAGCCTGAGGGCATCACAAGAAGCAGTAGGACTACACCCTTAGCAGCCTCAAAATTCCAAAAGCTAAGGATTTTGATTTGAGGAGAGCCCCAGAGCACCATGTTCCAGAATGGTGGAAGGCCTAGGGAAGTTGTTCCTGGGGATTTGGTTTTGTGGGAGTTTTTTGTTTGTTTGTTTGTTTTGGTACCGGGGATCGAACTTGGGTCCTTGTGCTTGCGAGGCAGGCACCGGAACCACTGAGCCAAATCCCTAGCCCTGTTCCTGGGGATTTGGTTCATAGGCACTGGACCCCTACTCCCAAAGAGAAAAAAGCCTGGCTACTGCTCCAGCTGGCAGCAGGCCCTGGTGTCATCCATGTGGTGCTGGTTTTAGGTGCGTGCAGAATGCAAGAGTTGAGGGGTCAGGAAAACTTCTATCAAGATTTCAGAAGGCAGCCTGGGAGGCCAGGCAGTGTGCCTCTGAGAGGACTGTGTGTGAAGCTGTGAGAGTGAAGCCAAAGGTGCACTGGCGACCTCAGAGGTTTAGAAAAGCTGCGAATGTGGATCCTCTGAGGAAAACTGCAAGGAGGGAACAGAGCTGGCCGCAGAGAGAGCCACAGGACTATACCACCAGAAATGTCATAGGGAATGAGAAATGTCTCAAACTCTTTGGAGTTCACAACTTGCCACAGATTGCCAGGGATGCTGGAAGTGGAACTGTAGGATTTAATGTTTGCCCTGCTGGGCTTCGGTCCTGCTTTCCCATTTCTTGCTATACCTGTTTGTAACCTTTGGAATGGAAATGTCTGTCTTGTGCCATTGAATGTTAGAAGTGTTTGACTTTCTTTTCATTTGTGCAGGTTCTGGGAGCTAAGAATTTGCCTTTAAATTTCAGAGGGGACTTTCATCAATGCTGGAACTGTTAGGATTTGGCAATTCTTGGAGATAGACTAAATGCCTTTTGCATAAAGGAATGTACACTAGTCTTTGGGGGGGGGCAGGCCAGAATGTTATGGTTTATGTCTGCAAATTCTCCCAAAGCCTCATGTGAATGAAGTGGGTATATTCCAGAGATGGCTAAATCTAGAGAGTGTGATGCTGTGATTAAGGCATGGGATTACTAAACCAGTACACTGATTGGTTCGACACCATCCTCATCCAGGTCCCCTTGTTGCTTTGCTACCTTCTGGCCAACATAAACTGCTTCTCCTCTGCCCAGCCACCCTGCCTTGGAGCCAGATGATTATGGACTGAAGCTTTTGTAAACTACAAGCCAAGTAAACTTTTCCTCTTTTATGTGTCAGGTATTTTGTCTCAGCAGGGATGAAAGTAACTGAGACAGATTGCTGTGAGTTTGAGGCCAGCCTGGGCTAGCTGCATAGTAAGTTCAAGGACAGCCTGAATGAACTACATAGCAAAAGCCTGTCTTAAAAATATTTTTAAAAATCTAAAAAATGTAACAAGAGTAGAAGCTGGTGTGGTGATGCACACTTGTAATCCCTGCCTTAGGCTGGGGCAGGAGGATCCTAAGTTTAAGGTCTGCCTGGATCACGCGGCAAGCTCCTAAAAATATATGTTGGGCGCTCAGAGCACACAGCCCCTCAGCACTGACTCTTGGATGGAAGGGGGTCTCACTTAATCTTAGCAAAAAACTTGTGAGACGTTTCTCTAGTAATTTTAACTCAGAAAGCTGAGGTTCCAAGAAAACAGGTTATATGCCCTGATTTAATTCGGGTCTATCCTAAAGCTCCTGCGCCTTACATTGAAGATTGCTAAATTTCAAGGGAAGATCTGGTAATTTAGCTGAAACAGTTGCCCAAGGCCTTGCCTTTGGCTCCTCCTCTGGGCCTTTCCCGCTGTGTCCGTCGTTCACTCTCTTGTGTTTAAATAAAGCTCGAGTATTGAGAAGGCCGGGGGAGGAGCGCAACTGTGGCGCTGTGCGCCTGCGCGCTGGTGGCCGCAGTGCCCGGCGGGGAGCGGGTCCGTAGTGGGCCGGGACCCAGAGGAGGGGGTAGGGGAGGGGGCGTCTGAGACGCCAGGAAGCTCCCTGCCGGGCGCATGGTGGCCTGATGGGATGTGAGGGGTGGCGGTGAAGGTGAGTCTCTCGGGGGCTGCCCGGGCGGGCGGTGGGGCTGCGGGACGTGGCCGAGTGGTTACGGCGGCGCTGGGGCTACCGATCTGTCCCCTCTCCCGGAGCCGGCGTGGATTTCCGAGCAGATGATGGTGATCCTGGCTTCAGGATGCAGGTTCTCTGGGCGGTGTTTCGACTGGCCTCCGAGCCCCGGAAGGAAACATGGCCCAAAGCTTTGACCTTTGGGGGAGGCTGCTGCCTCCGGTTGGCCTGTGGTTGGTGAGATTCACCTAGTGGTAGGCGTCTTAGTAATATCAGCGAATAATGGGTCGCTTACTTTGTGCCCATCCACGCTGCATAATTATGGAGAGGAAATACTTTGTATCGCCCTCCCCTCTGTCTGGTCAGTTCAGTCTTCTTTTCGTTGGAAAGTTTGAGATTTCCGTAGCTTTTAGCAACTTGGGACTGTCATCCCAGTTAAGGAAGTTTTTCTTGTATCTAGTAAATGAGCGCTGTAACCACCATAATGGTTTATACTTAGTTGATTCAAACCACAAATAATTTTACTAAGAGCTTAGCACTGTTCTAACGCCCATTAGAAACTATAAAATTTGACCGCCGAGCATGGTGGCACATGCCTGTAATCCGGCATTTGGAGATTGGGCAAGGAGGCTGAGACAGGAAGATTGCTGTGAGTTCAGGGCCAGCCTAGGCTATATATAGTGAGTTAAAGGCCTGCTTGAAATGCATGGACCCTGTCTTAAAAACAAAACAAAACAAAATTATAAAATTTGTTTTAAGCTCCTTTCTCAAGTTTGGTGGAAAGTGAAACCAGATAATATTCGGATTCAACTAGGATTTACTTCTTAGTACCTGCGCCACTTGTGCCAAATACATTCAGGTGGGTCACAAAAATTGAGATGTTGTAAAATCAGATGGTTTTTGCAACTTTTGTCAGATGAGATCGCTGAGGTTCTGATGGTAATTTACTCAAACTAACCTTGCTTGAACCTTGCTTAATTAGTTGGTGAAATTCACCTAATATGATAGCAAAGCTCATCTTTTTCTTATTTGACAAAGTTAGATACTAGAATTGCTGCGGGGAAAGCTAACTATGTTGCACTTACAGTTTCTAGAGTTAGCTCTAGACTGGAAAATGGTCGGAGCCTCTCCCCTGATCGGAATTGAACCCTGGGGGCCTTCACAAGGAGCTACATCCTCAGCCTTTTTAATTATTGAGGTTTGGTTGGAACTGGGGACCTTCCTGCCTCAGACTCCCAAGAGTGCTGGGATTACAGGTTGTGCAATGTCCAGAATTTTAATTAAAAATTCTTTAAAAAGAATTTTAAATAAAGCTATGTATTAGATTAGTTTTGTGTTAGCCTTTATTTAAAGCTATGTATTAGATTATTTTCCCCCTTGTTTATTGATACATTTAAAGCAAGCAATAGTTAACATTTATCATTGGGATCTTGTACCTTTATATGATATGTCTTGGTTCTTGTTTTTGTATGAGATTATTTTTATATATTAGCCTTTTCTTTGTGGGGGTTTTGAGATAGGGTCTCACTATGTAGTTGAGACCTGGAATTCCCTGTGTAGCCCAGTCTGGTCCTGAACTCACAGCGATCCTCCTGCTTCAGCCTCTGGACTGCAGGGATTATAGGCGAGCGCTGCCACACCCGGTTTGTATTAGCCTTTAATTAAAGCTGTATATTAGATTATTTCTGTGGGTCTCAGGATGAAACTCAGAGTCTTGTGCAGGTAAGGCAAATGGTCTACCACTGAGCAATGGATTTTTTTTTGTTGTTGTTTGGTACCAGGGATTGAACTCTGGACGTTGTACTTGTGAGGCCAGCATAGTGCCACTGAGCTGAATCCCAGGCCCTTGTTTTGTTTTTTAAGACAGGGTCTCTCTGTATTTACTATGTAGACCAAGCTGGCCTCCAACTCACCAAGGTCCTCCTTTCTCAGCCTCCTGAATGCTGGGATTACAGGCGAGCACCACCGTGCCTGACCTACAGATTTTTTTTTTAATGACAGGATTTCATTCAAGCCTTGAATTTGTGGCACTCCTGCCTCAGCCTCTCAAAATACAGATGGTTTTTAAAGAGAATTTAAAAATGGCCTGCAGGGAGGTAGAGGATGTGCAGGAATTTGATCTGACTAGTTCATAATCAGTTGCTTTGATTAAAAGAGCATTATTTGAAAAGGAAAACTATGGTGATTATTGTACATGTAAATTAGAACAGATGTAGTTTAAAAGCTATTATACAAAAGCAAGGAACAATGACAGATGGCTCAGTAAATTTTTTTTTTTTTTTTGGCACTGGGGATCAAACTCAGGACCTTGGGCTTGCAAGGCAGGATACTGCACTGCTGAGCTAAATCCCTGGCCCTTTTTTGGTTTTTTCTGAGACAGGGTCTTGCTTTGTAGCCCAGGCTGGCCTTGAACTTGAAGTGATTCTCCTGCCTCAGCCTCCCAAGTGCTGGGGGGAATCACAGGTTTGTGCCAACATGCCCAGCAGTTTAGTGAGAATTATACATATTGTTTTTGTAATTGGAGTAATTTAGTGGGAAGTTTAGGATTAATTTGAGTACCCAATGAATAAGAACACCTATGTAGACAAGTTACACCTAAGTACTTTAATTGCACATTGTTAGGCATGCAATTTGCTAATTGAAGCTTAAATTCAATTGTGCTTTTAAAAATTTTTTATTTTATTTTTTTCCATTAAGTTTATTAGTACTTTTTAGATATGCAGTACAATTACATTCAACATTAGGATCTTTTATCTTTACATGATGTGTCTTGGTTCTTATTTTTTTCCCATACCCCTGCCCTCCCTTCACCCCTTCCACACTTGCCTATTTACAGACTTTGTTTCCATTTTTCCTTTTCTCATATTTTTTCTTTTCCCTTCTTTCCTTTCCCTTATCCTTCCCACTTCCCCTACCCCTTTAGCCCTTTTCTTCTTATTTTATATTATCAGTTATACACTTTGAACATTATTTACACTTTTAGTTTTTTCACACCAGAGAAACTACTCCCTATTTACACGTGTGTCCTATTTATTTTCACTTAAGAGTATGGCGTCAGGCCGGGGATTTAGCTCGGTTCTGCTGACTGCCTAGCAAACTCAAGGACCTGAGTTTGATCCCTGGTACCAAAAAAAACAAAAAACAAAACCAAGAGAACAACAGCAACAAACCAACAACAAAAAAAGTATGGCCTCAATGTTCATCCATTTAGCTATAAATGTCTCTAGTTTCTCTTTATTTATGGCTGAGTAGTGCTCCATTTTGTTAAAACAACAACAACAACAACAACAAAACAGATTGAGCATGGTGGCGCATGCCTGTAATCCCAGCACTCGGGAGGCTGAGGCAGGAGAATTGCTGTGAGTTTGAGACCAGCCTGGGCTACATAGTGAGATCCAGGTCAGTCTCAACTACATAATGAAACCCTGTCTCAAAAAACCAAAAAAAAAAAAAAAAACTCTGGTTTCTCTTCAGATCGCATAAATCTTTTGCTTTTTACTAAAAAACCAAAAAAACAAAACAAAGCAAAAAAAAAAAAAACCCAATAAAACAGCATCTTTATCCAGTCTCCAGTTGATGGGCAGTTGGGCTGTTTCACTATGCCCCTATAAACATGGGCACACATATATCGCTGTGGTAGGATTCTTTTAATTCTTTTGAAAAGATACCCAGCAGAAGGATAGCTGGGTCAAATGGAACCTCCAGTCCAAGCTCTTTGAGTTATCTCCATATTGATTTCCACAGTGATTGCACCAGTCTGCACTTCTACCAACAATGGAGAAGGGTTCCTTTCTCCCCACAACCCCACCAGCATTTCTTATGGGTTGATTTCTTGATAGCAGCCATTCTTTCTGGGGTGAGGTGAAAACCCAGGATGTTGAACATTTTTTCATATATTTCTTTGCTGCTTTTACTTGTTTGAGAAATGTCTGTTCATTTCAGATGCCCATTTTTGAATCGGGTCTTTATATTTGGGGGGGGGTCTGGTTTTTTTGAGTTCTTTATATATTCTAGATAGTAGACCTTCGTCTGGGGAACAGCTGGTAAAAATGTTTTCCCACACTGTGGGTTGTCTCTCAGCTCTGTTGGTGGTTTCTCCTGAAGTGCAGAAGCTCCTTAATAAGATGAGATCCCAGTTGTTGATTCTTTGTGCTAGTTCCCATGCTACTGAGGATTTGTTCATAAAGTCTTTTTCTGTGCCAGTGTCTTTGAGAGTTCTACCTAACTTATCTATCCTCCATCGAGTTTAGTGTTTCTGTTTTAATGTTTAGGCCTTTAATCCACTTCGATTTTAGTTTAGTGCACGGTGAAAGATAGATCCAGTTTTTCCCACACCATTTGTTGAAGAGGCTGTGTGCTTTTTTTTTTTTTTTTAATTTAAAAAGGACTACCAAATTTGTTTGTTTTTTCTTTTATTGAGTTTATTGTTACATTTTAGGTATACAGTACAATTACATTCATTATTGGGATCTTGTACCTTTACATGACAGGTCTTGGTTCTCATTTTTCTCCCCTTGTCCGTGCCCTCCCTTCGCCCCCTGCTCCCCTCCCCATATACAAACACTTTATTTCCATTTTTTCATTTTGTCATATTTTTTTCTTTTCCCTTATTACCTTTCTCCTATTCTTCCCATTTTCCCTACACCTTTAGCCCTTTTCTTCCTATTTCACATGGTCAGTTATCTCATTAGGATCTTATGTACTATTATAGCTTTTCACACCAGAGAAACTATTCAGTATTTACATGTGTGACTTATTTCATTTAGGAGTATATCCTCAATATGTATCCATTTTCCTATGAATGAATCTAATTTCTCATTCTTTATGGCTGAGTAGTATTCCATTTATAGACAAACCACATCTTCTTTATCCAGTTTCCAACTGATGGGCAAATGGGCTGTTTCCAAGATTTAGCTATTACAAACTGTGCCGCTATAAACATAGGTGCGCATATATCACTGTGGTATGATTCCTTTAATTCT